GAAGAATGAGGCCCAGAGGCGACTTCTATGGCCCACCAATTGGTGGTCGCGTACGTAATCAGGGCTTTGCAGTATGTTTTCAAAAATTTATTCAGTGTGCTTAATTGTCTTGATTCATTTCTCCAATGTCCCTTTAGCCTGTGCAGATGGCGCCTGAGTGGGTGGACAATGGGCGAGGACGCGGGTCCGTATCCATGAGAATTGGTCGGGGTAGGATGCGTGGAATTGAGCGTGGTAGCCATCAGATGATAGTCTATCGTGGAGGGTATCCGCTGAGAGGCCAATTTAGAGGCAGTAGGGGAGGTCGCAGTCGGGGGAGAGGCCATACTGGCAATGGGGAGGAACCTCGCTGTAAGTGACCTGATTTTCCTATCTATCATCTTTAAAGGTACAAAATGTTTATAGCTATCCATTTTGCTTGCGACACATTAAATATTGCTTTAACGTCTAGCTGACATTCTTTTCCTCTTCCTTATAGACCTCGAGCCGTATATTATCTAGGCCTACAAATAGGATCGCTTGGTATCAGCTGGCGTGAAGTGCGCGTTGCATAGTTATTAGCCGAGCAATTCTGGCAGTCAATTAGTTTCATTCTGATCAATGGCATTGATTCCTTTTCAAAGCCAGCCATTCGTGTTAATTGTTTTGATGAATCCGTCATACGCCGCTGTGAGTGTTGCTTTCATTACGATATTAACTGTTTGCATCCTTCGCGTTGAGTCATTTGCGTTCACACTTTTAGCTAAACTACCAACAGTGTTTTCCCGAGAGCCACTAATATGAATCAAAACTTCACCCCATACATTTATAGCCCTTCCGCCCATTTCAATGCATTGGGCGAATTACCTGTTAAGACAATAGCTTGCTCAAACTTATGGCGTCCTGATTTAACGCCTTCATCTTAAGTGATCTTTGCATTCTTTGCCTTAACTCAGCGTCTCCGGTTCATCAACAATTAAGTTACTTTGCTGTGGAAGTTGGATCGCCATTATCCCATCACTGTAAATCATTCGTTCTTATAATTCTTATCTAGACCTAATCTTTGCACAAATGCAGCTGTTTTATACCTTTATCTTTGTGTAAACAAGTCTTCATTGTCTATCACATGTTTTCGTCTACTCAAAATCCTCAAGCTGTGCATTTCTGCCTTGCAACCCTATCTACATCAAGCTATGGGCCCATTGGATTTTACAGTTTTTTTCTTTTTTATACTGATTTGACCTATGTAACTAACCGGTACAAATAATGGATAAATTTTAATGCGCACACTTGAATTACTTGCTCGCTTTTTAAGATGTCAACTGAGTTTTGGTCTTTTGGTATTGCTGAATTGGTTTGTTACCAGTCTGTCAGCCTAGGATTAGATCTAGATCCTAACTCCATTGAAGTCGTGGTTTGCGTTTCACGCGTATTTGCTGTTTCCATATTTGGTCTGTATTGGTTTTGGCTATTTAGAAATAAGATGGCCTCAATGAGTATGACGGAAAACGAGCTCACATAAGGGCCAGAAGGCCGACCTGGGGTTATTACGCGGGATGCAATTCCTTTTCTAATTGCGGGTTGTTCATTTCGCACTTCACCTCGTCACTATCAGGCTGGCAAAGCCGGACCGAAAAGCAGCTGCATGCCAAAGTGGATATCAAGGGCGAGGGTAATGTGCAGTCTTCGTTGAAATTTAACTAGATGTGCCTGACTATTTGAATATCCAACAGATATAGATTGATGGTAACGTGGGTCTGCTTTCTCTTCTGACAATTTACATAATATCCTTTGGGAGTGTTAAATTGCAGCGGGAAGGAGCTAGTCTCCTTGCCGGTTTAACTAATGTCAGGAAAGATTTCCTGGTTGTCAACCCACTGCTTTCTCACTTAAAATGGGTATAGTCTAGTCTGCCGGATCTATCGCCCTCTTATTGCTCTATTTGAGCACTGTAGGTAGGTTGCAGATATTAGTTGATATATTTTAAGAAT